CCCCCTCATGAGCCTCATCACCGCATCAGTCAGACTGAGTCCAGGGCCACAGAGCTCCAGGTGCTCCTGGAGATCCCTTACACATCCCGCCAACCCTCACGGCCTCATCACCACCATCAGCCTCAAAGACCGCTGGGACCAATCAATCCCATTTTGGCCTTGGACCCAGGTTACCTTGGTCATCCTCACTACTAATCATTTGTCCCTCAGAGCTCTGTTCATCCCCTAGCTGACCCAATCTCCAACCTCCCCAGCCCCTCAAGTCCCAGCCCTGGGCTCTCTGGAATTTTGTCCCAATGTCAGCAGAACCCCCTATATTCTCACCTTCTTGCTCTGATGGAAGCCTGGCTTTCTCCCCTGCAGTCTCTTACATGGGGGTGTTTCATGGCCCACACCTCTGCTCTTCACTGCTGGTCATTAAATACTGGAATCCTACCTATCACACCAATCTGTCACAGTAAGTCCAGGGAAGAGGGCTGGTAGGGGTGGCTCCTAGATTTGACAGGCAGAGGACAGAGGGGCTGGGACTGAGGCCCCACCTGCTCTCCCTCCTCCCCAAGCATGGGTAGAAGGGTGAGCTCTGAGCCTCAACCCCAAGGTCCAGCCCAAGCACAGCTGCAAGGAGGCGTTCAATGGCCCAAGAAGAACAGATCCTTCCTACAGCCCCTAGTGGCAGGGCTGTGCTCACACCACTACCCCGAGAGCACTGCCTCTGGGGTTTTGCCCTTCCCCTCACCACCATCATCCTCTACTCTACCACTCCCAGCACCATCAATCCTGCCTCCTGGGTTGCTGAGAACATAGGGCTATTTTCACAGAGAAGTCCTCTGACTGACCAGATTAGTAGTAGAAAATTCAGTACTAGGTTCGGTACTCACTGAGACAGAATGACTCGTATGCAGCAGAGAAGGCCGGGAGCATCTGGTGTGGTTCCGTGTGTCAAACCGTGGTCCAGACAGGGCCATCATTTAGCTTGTAAGAGCCTCATCATCAAAAGATCACACCAATAATTTCTAAAAACCAAACAATAATTTGGGGCTTATTAGGATAATTTGATGAATCATTTGCACTTCAACTTTTAACTTAGTAAGCAGTTTCGTAATATATACTTGATGTACATAGAAAATAAAAATGAATTTTAGTTTTGTCTTATATATTAATTGGGTGACCTTTCCAGTTGCTAAATACTCTGAATGTCATCCCTACCTCCTTGCAACCTGAGCCACCCAGTTCATGAGCTTACACTTGACCCTAGATTACCAATAACCACACTTCACACCCTCAGTCTTTTGCACCCACTCTTGGACTCCCATTCCCCACCCTTTCAGCTCACTCCCTGGCTCTAACAATTCTCTGACCCCCACCCTAGGCTTCCAATGCATTGACGCCCATCTTTCCACTGCCCTCTTTACCCAGCTTAGGGCCTGTCAGTTTTCATAATCACTCCCTCCCCTTCTTGCTCTCACCTCACAGACCCCCATCCCAGTTAAAGGCAACCCTCCAGCTAGACAAATTGCAGTGACATGCTTAAATTTGGCCTGAGAAAACCACAGGATCTCAAGAGGGACCTTGAAGCCACCGACACACATACTTCATGTCTCGAGCCTGGCCCATTCTCTCTCCTACTCTCATGGAGAAAAATTTGCTTCCCTTCCTCCTTCCTCAAATGTCCAACTCTGCCTCCCCTTCCTCATTCTCAGTTTATGATCCTGCTTCCCATTCCATTAAGAAAATAGAAGCAACCAGAAGAGAAGTGTCACAAGCCCCCACCATGTCTATCCACAGGTGTGTGCTGCCTTCCTGGTACAGTGAACGTACCATCACCTACCTCATGAAAGGCCACCCTTGCACTTGTGTCCTGGACTTCATCCCCCCTCACATTGCTCCTGCATTGCTCCTTCCTTTCTCTGGGCAAATTCTTCCGCTACTGGAACATTCCCACCAGCACCACTTATGCCTTGCCATCTCCCCCACAACACAGAGTAGCCAGCAGGTGGTAGGTATCCCACTGGCATAATGCAGAGGGGGGCAGAGGGAGGTAAAGGGAAGGAGACAACAAAGGATGTGGTGAGGGCTCAGGTAGCCAGACCAGCATGTGCAAAGATCCTGTGGTAGGAAGGAGCATGCAGGAAGGAAGGCCCAGGTGGCATGTGCACAGAATGATGAGGTCAGACTGAGGTTGGGTCAGACCCTGTTAAAGATGGTGAGCTTTTTCCTGAGAGCACTGGGAGCTGATGAGTATTTTAAGCTGGAGGTGGCTTGATCAGATTGGCATTTCCAAGGACAATTACGATAGCTCTGTAGAGAGACAGATAAGAGTGCAAAATGACCAGTGGGGAAGCTATTGCCATCCTCCAGGGAAGCAAGGAAGGTGGCCTAGCAGTGGGCGATGCTGTTGATGGAGAGCAATCAATGAGTTTGAGAGACACTGAGAAGCTAATACAGCAAGATGTTGTGATGGATGGAAGCTGCAGTGGGGAGGAGGAGATGTTGGCGATGATGGCTGGGCTCTGACTTGCACCAGGAAGTGAAGGAGAGACATTTGCTGAGCTAGCTGGTGCCTCCAGAAGGCCAGGCTTGAAGGAAAGATCATGAGTTCAGGTTTGGACCTGCTGAGTGTACAATGCCTTAAGACATCCACCAGGAGACATCAAATAGGCAGTTGACTACCCAGGTCTGGACCTCACAGGAGCATCCGGGCAGCTGATTATTTCACACAGCCTCTCAACAAGCATCTCTTCGCCCTTCTTCTGCACTAGGCTCCTTGCTAGGAGCCAACCGCCAGTCCAAGGATGGCTGAGGCACAGGCTTGTGCAGAGGGGCAGCCAGGCTGCATGGGGAGCAGGTGCAGGCATGCAGCCCTTAGAAGAGGGGTGTGAAGGCTCCATCTGCAAGCCCTTGGTTTGGGGTTGAGCACTGTCCCTGATTTGTTAGAAGACTTGGGGCATGTCAGGACCCTTCTCTACACCTCACCTCCTGCAGGCTTCCTTATAAAGATGCCTGGCATGGCATTGGCGCTGATGAAATATTTGTCAGATTGAATTGAGAGAAAATGAAAGTGCTTTGCAAAGTGCTTTTCAAACACACTGATTTGTAATTTTAACACTAGGGAGGATAGTATATCCTCTTAGCAGCTGGTATGAAGACACTTCTCAGGAGAGAGGGGTGTGTGGTTGGAAAGAGAGAGAAGCTGCTAGGGGAAGGTTGAGGCCTCCTATTAATGGACCAAGATGCACAAGGGCAGGGAGATGTGCTGGGGGGACAGAGAAGCGGGGAGACAACAGGTCAGGGGAAGGAGGGAGCAAGGAGAGGGACTGCCCAGAACACTCAAAGAGACCTGCCCTGTGGGGGTATTTTGGGTGAAACGTTGTGTTCTTGGGACTCACAAAGCTTCCGTAAAGTTACCAGAAGTCCCAAAATGCTTTGGGGAATTATTTTTCTTGCCGAAGTCAGGAAAGGAGGTGAATTTGGTACAGAGATGGCGAAGGGGGAGGGGGGCAGTTAGCCATTTTCTCTGTAACATGTAGCATATAATGATAGCTAGAAATACCTAAAACACTTATCTTCATGTAAGTATACCCGTGTCCTATATATGCCATGTATATAATATATACAGGTCTATGTTACAATGCTTTAAAATGCCTAAATAATTTCCACAGTATACAGTAAAGCCTTCTTTATGGGATATGCGGCTCAGAATTCTATAGGAAAATAAATTGCTAACATGTACTGAGGACTGTATTAATTAGGTTATATTAGCCGCTGTCACAGAAAAATCCCCAATGTCAGTGGCTGAATATAGTCAGTCCATTTCTCTCTCACAGCAGTGCCTCGAGCATGTTCACTAATGTGGCAGTGCTGTTCTGAGCACTTTATTTATGTCAGCTCATTCAATCCCCATGACTATCTACGAAAGCAGAATTCCTATGAATTCCTAAGAATTTTCCTCCCTTTCAGGTGAGGAAACTGAGGCATCTCAGTGCGCCTGGCCTGCCTCTCAGCCCTATACCGTATCTCCCAGCTCAGGGCAAGTTAGCCAACACTTGTACCTATGCTGCTGCTGGGGATACAACAGTCCCTGCTGTCATGAGGCGGATATGGTTGTAAATTCTATCCTAAGCATCTGTTTTTATGGAGATTGCACTGCATAGTTCTCTGATTCACTTAGTGACTGTTGGCAGGGGCCCTGCTGTGTGTGGCACTGGGCTGGAGTTTTCACCTAAGCCAGTTCTCACCTTCTCACTGAGCAAATATTTAGAGGCAAAAGCCCTGATTCCATCATTCCTGGGCATGAGTACTTAGTCATTTAGCCTCCCTGAGCCTCAGCTTCTTCATCTGTAAAATGGAGATGATAATACCCCCTCAGAGGCCTGTGGTAGAGCCAGAATGAGTCTAGTACAAGAGTCTGGCAGAGAGCCTAGCCCCCTGTGGGGACTCACCCCCTGGATTTCAGAGCCATTGGGGCCTGGGTGTGGTGAATTCCATGCCCTGCAGGTGGAATGCTGCTTTGCAAGCTTACCTAAAGTGCAGTGGGAATGTCTGTCAGCTTCAGTCTGGGGTCTGCCTCCTTTGGAAGGCTATCTACTTTCTCTCAAGCAAATTGTGGGGTGACCAGTGGAGCTGGGGCACAGAGGCGACCACACGCACTGCACCAGGTTCATCATTCATGGGCCTCTTCAGTGGCAGTCCACAGCCCTAAACCAAACCTCCACCTCCAGCCTCCACCACCACCGAGCTTCCGCTAATCCTCAGAAGCCTCAGTGGAAGGCTGGGTTTTGAAGTCTTAGGCCTCAGATCCTCTCCGAGAGCACTGCAGGGGAGGGGGCGTGTTTTGATTCACCAGGAGGATGTCCAAACAGACAAAGCAATACCGTCCTCTAGGGTGAGGGCGAGGACTGAACCAGCTTCAGCAGAGTGAGAGGTCAGGAAGAGGCCAGTGGGTCTGAACCCCGGAAACTGTGATGCCTGCCTCATGTGTCCTTTTTCCCCTTGTTTTCCAGGGAACTTCAAAGGCCTCTGCAAGCAAATTGATCACTTCCCAGAGGATACAGATTACGAAGCTGACACAGCAGAATATTTCCTCCGTAAGTGCATGCAATTTTTTATCTCCTTCATGGTGATGGGTCCTGCCCTCTAGCCTTCAGAGCACCAAACACCAGGACTGTCTAGAGGTCCTTGTCTCAGCAGAGGGCTGGAAAAAGCTGAGCCTTCCCCCTTCCCTCCTGTCTGGAGGCCAAACCTTCCCTCTGCCTGCACCACTTTTCTTTCCCTTCTTTGTCCTACTCATCCACCAGGTTTCAGCTCAAACATCACCTCTTCCAGGAAGTCCTCCATGCCCCTGAACATATTCCCAGAGTAAGGCACTTTTGTCATGCTGTAAGGTCCTTGTTTATTTGGGCAACCATCTCCCTCACAGTCCTACCAATGCTGCCAGGCCAGGGGCTCTTGTTTGCATTATATTTTCAGCCCAGTGGCCTCAGTAAATACTTCTTGAATAACTGAATGAAGAAACTTATCAGGCGGTGCCAGATTAGAATTTCTACTGAAACAACAGATCAGATTGTTTTTTCTCCCCCACAAGTCAAGTCAAAGTTGAATCCTGATGTAAAAGCTGCACTCTTAAACCCACCTGAGACATATTATCAAGAGAAAGCATTTGAGTCCCAAAGAAACATTCTCAAGAATTGGCAAAAACTAACAAGATGAAATGTTCCCTGAGAAAGGGATTTCCAAGAGAGGGGTTGAGGGCCCTTGACACCTGGGACACCAAAGCCACCAGAGCAGAAGTGACTGAAGGCTCTGCTAGAGGCTCTCAGGCCTGCTCCTCCTGAGATCCGCTCTTCTCCCAGGAGCATCCCGCTCTGCCCCTCCCCTCCCAGTTGGCAGAGGGCTTAGCATTACCCTCAGATCATTTTTATGAAAAATGCAGGAGGCATTTTATTATATGGATCATCCATCTCTTTCAATAATTACTCCTCACATCAAATCCAGCTCAGGTCAGCCTGGAATCCGGGCGTCACCGAGAAGCCCACGGAATATGACGTCAGCCAGGCAACTAAGGAGAGAAAGGAAGGGAACACGATGCAATTTATAGACTTCTCTCTAAGGGGAGGAAATATCTTACAATGCCCCTCATTTATTTTTATGAATTCCTGCAAGATGTTGCTCTTAAATGGAATTCCTAAAGGGCAGTTTGGTTGTATTCCCTGTTACCACGTCTGGGGCTCCCAAAGGAGTCTGGCAATGGGTGAAGGCAGATTGAACACCATCTGCACACTACCCCTGTGCTCAGGACTGAGAAGATCCAGGTGAATGAATGCAACACAGTCCGTGGCCCTAGGGAGACCACGTGGTACACAGCCTGGTGGGGAGGACCCTCAGGGAAAGAGCTGGACTGGGAGACCCGCACGCGGAGATGCATCCTGCACACAGAGGTGGAAGGGGAGCAAAGCTGAGCCCCACACCCACAGCCGCACTGATCGAGCACAGCTAGATGCCAAGTGCTTGCGGCAGGAATTCCATCTCCTTCTTTGCTATGCCTAGAACAGCTCCTGGAATACCGTAGATGCTCAATCAGCGCTTTTTGTTAAATGAAGGAAAATATCGGGTTCTTCAGTGACTGTTCCCTGCCTACGCTATACCTCCTTCTCCTTACTCTTAAAGAGAAAAGAGCTTAGATTGTTGGGCTCATTTTGGTGTCCCTGGGCAAAGAACTTGAACATACATTAGCAGTGCAGGATCTGAGGGTCTGAGTTGACTAAATCCAATACTTTTGAGCATCTATAATAGGAGGTCAGCAAACTTTTTCTGTAAAAGGACAGATAATAAAAATTTTAGGCTTGCAGGCTGTACAGTCTGTCCCAACTACTCAACTAACCTTGGAGCACAAAAGCAGCAGAGACAAAACAGAAGCAAATTAGTGTGGCTGTGCTCCAACGAAACAACTTTATTTACTGAAACAGGCAGCAGGCCGCATGCAGCATAGTTTTTTGACCCCTGATCTATAATACACTAATCTTGAGCTAGACAATAAAAGTAATTTTTTAAAGCTGGAAGATGTGAGTTCCTATCGTTGTCTATTCAGCTGTAACCTGGCTGGCTAGAGAAGCTAGAAGACAGGGATCATTCTTGAAGGACCCTCTGCCCCACTAAGGCGGGCAGAGCAGGGGCCCAGGGAGGCTTGCAGGGCTTCTCCTGTGGTGGGCGGGGCTGTGCCTCAAGGTGGGCGAAGCTGCACCAGAGTGGGTGGAGCCTGAGTCAGCTCTCTATTCAGGTCTGTTAAACCTGCCTGCAGGATGCACCTGCCACACGGGAGGCTGTGAGAGGCAAGGAAGTAGCCTCTGCCCCCGAGGGCTCGCTGTCTGGAGATAGACCCATGAACATAAGGTGTATGCCATGATATAGGTTAGAAGGAAGAGTGGGGCACAAGGGAGTGTGGCTCCTCGCCCAGCCTGGAGGAGGTGGCACCAAAGCTGAGACTTGAACTCTAGAAGCATTCATTCATTCATTCACTCACTCACTCATGCAGCACTCACTAAGCACTATGTACAGGGCGCTGTTTTCCCAACCAGCTCTGAGGGGCCATCGATGTGTCTGCTGTGGTGCCTCCCTACCCCTATCCCTCCTGAACAAAGCTTGAGGAGCATGACGAAGAGCAGAGGTGGTGGCAACCAGGGTGTGACTTCCTACAGCTGTCAATGTGTCTGTGTGTCTGTCTTTGTGCATGAGGGCATGAGTCTGCGTTGTGTTGTCTTTCAGTGCCTGCATGTCTGTGCACCTGCATGTCTGCCTGTCTGAATGTGTAAGTGCCTGTGTGTTTGCACATGTCTGCTTGTGTGCATGTGGGTCCCTACATGGCGAATGTGCGTGCACGCGCGCGCGTGTGTGTGTGTGTGTGTGTGTGTGTTGCAGCCAGGAAATGGGAGTGGTATTTTCTAGCTGTCTCAATGTGACTTAAAGCAGAGAAAGAAGATTAGAGGAAACGAGTTCCCTTCCAGTCATGTATTAAGCACCTACTGTATGCTAGACCCCAAAATCCACTGTACTGTGGCCACTTGTAGCCAAGGACTACAGGATGGGATCAGGCTCTCCAGAGAGTGAGAGCCTGGGGCTGGAGGTGATGGGCCGAAGGTCAGCTGCTGTCCCTGACATACTCTGTCCAGGGAGAGTGGAGGGGCTGGCACCCAGAAGTTGCACATGTACACACACACACACACACACACACACACACACATATACACACCAGAGCTGCAGTAACAGGGCCTTACTATGTCAAACACTTTTTCCAGAGCCTGGAGTGAACAGAAGCGGAGGGGAGGGAGGGCTCTTGGCAGGGCCTGTCCCTCCCCACCAAAAGAGGTCTCATTTGACTACACTTGGACTAGGAGTTGACCCCTTCCCAGAGCTTCACTGGCCACCTCAGAGTCGTTGAGGAAAGCTCCTGGAGCAGCTTTAGACCAGGAACAAATACCTATAAGGAAGGGGAGGTGAAAAGCAGCCAAGGCAGGGAGGACTGGCATGAGGGTTATTTGGAGGAGAACTTTACTGAACTTGACCGCCATGGGAGGTAGGCAGACATAGCAGCAGGCTTTAGCACACACTGCCTGGGTTAAAATCCAGCTCTGCCACTTCTTGGTTAACCTCCCAGGCCTCGGATTCCTCGCAATGGGGACAATGGCCATTGGTACCTTCCTAGAGTTGTAATGAGGCTAAAATAAGTCACTGTAAGACAACTCCACACCAGCCTGGATCATAGTAGGCATTAGCACTGGGCAGGCATTGGCCATTACAGTTGTGTATGTTACACAGTAAAAAGTACAAAGGATGTAGATTGAGCAGTGAAGGGAGAAGGGGTGCCAAGAAGAGGGCTTCAGTTTTCAGTGGGGTGGTCAGAAAGGTCCTCACTAGGAAGGAGACCTAAAGCAGGTGAGGGAGTGTGTCTGGTCCTGCAGGTGTACTGGGAAGAGCATTCAGTGCAAAGTGTCTGAAGCTCGCAGGCTCAGGGACAGCCAGGAGGCCACGTGGTTAGGAAGAGAGCATAAGCAGGCAGATGGGAGGCCAGGACTGTACGCCTCAGTTTTACTCTGAGATGGGACCTCAGGAAAGCTGTGAGCAGAGGAGAGGTAAGGACTAGTGCCCATGCTAACAGTATCACTCTGCGTCTGCCACGGAACTATGGGGTCTGAGCAGGCGCAGGGAGACCAGAAAGAGATGATGTCCGTAATCCAGGCTAGAAATGCAGGTGGGGGGACCGGGGCAGGAGCTTGGAAGGGGACTGAGAAGGGGTCCATTCTGGATGTATTTGAAGGCAGAGCCAGCAGGATTTACTGACAGCCTGGTTGGGGAGAGGTGAGAGAAAGAGAGGACTCAGTGACTAAAGACGGTGAGCACTGCTGCCCTTCTCCGAGGCCAGGAATGTAGGAGGAGGCTGGGTTGCAGGGAGGTGATCACTGTGTTTTCCAACCTGCATGATTTGTTATGGATTCTTCTCTGTCCCCACTGGACCATGAACAGCTACTCCTCTGAGTAGCTGCAAATAGAGTTCTCCCCACCCCCACCCAGTAGGAGATGTTTGCTGAACGAATAAATGAGAACCCACCCTCCCTAGGGCCCCCTGGTATATTCACCCTCTTCCCAGGTTGAGGACAGAGGTGGATGCTGGGTCTCAAGCTGAGCTAAAGCCACCTTTCCCAGCCTCAGAGAACCCCCCTCCTCTCTATTGCCCCTTCTCCATCCCCCTCTGCCAATCTCACCAGGCACCAAGGGGATTCCTAGGCACCTAAGCATGGGAAGTGTGGGGAATACCAGGTGTCCAGGTCTGAGCCTGGGATTTAGAGTGAAGGACTTGAATTCAAGGTGAGGTCTGCTCTGTGGCCTTGGGCACATTACACTTCTCTGAGCCTGGATGAATACCAGCCCCGGGGGACTCTGAGAATGAGACCAGGGCTAGGGTGGTGCGTTGTTAGGGCTTCCCAGCTGCCCCTGGGAACACCTGGGAGAAGTCCATCACCCCCTCCTTCAGGTTAGAGTTTAGAAGCACAGTAAAACATCCTCCCGGCTCCTGAAATGCTGGGGCCACACACACAGCCCCATCCTCCCATTTTACAGATGAGGAAATACCGAGGCCCAGAGAGGTAAAATGACTCATCCCAGCCCAGTACACTTGCTGGGCTGCCACCTGCCTCCTGGAACATTATGCAGGGCTGAGTGCTCCTGTCCACTGTCCCAGCCCTGCAGCCCCTTCTAGCAAAATGGTTTTGAAAGACATTCCCACCAGAGGTCATCATGGTCAGTGTGGCTAAAACTGTTGTGACCGAACGCTGCAGTTAGAGAGCCTGCTAAGCCGCAGCTCGTGCTCTCACATCCATGCAACCAGAGCCAATGGGTCACAAAAAGGTGCCTGCCCTCCACCTACTCCACACACATCGGCAGTTTCTATTCGGTCCTGGCATACTCATTTAAGGGCTGGCTGCAACCACCATGCTGACTTCACGAGCTAGTCATGAGTCACAACCTGCACTTAAACCACCACCACCCGAAGTTACCTCAGGCCCGGGGGGAACAGCAACAATATGCTCTGCTGGGGGAGAACCAACATTTCCCAGTGCTCTCAGGTACCAGGCACTGTTCTAACTGCTTAAAATGCATTCTCATGACTCCTCACTGTGGCCCTCTGGGCTGGTGTCTGACCCTCTCCTTGCAACACAGGAGGCAAACTGAAGCTCAGAGAGGGCAGGCAGCACAGGGAGAGAGATGCGTTCAGGCCACTCTCTCCTGATCCTGCAGCTGATCACCAACCCCAGAGACAAGAGGAACTGGGAAAGCACCCAGGACCTGCACAGATGGCGCTCCCGAAGGATGCTCACTGGGTTTCCAAGTTCCTTTCATGTGTCATTATATACAGCAAACGCTCATTGGATACCTGCCTGTCCGTGCAGGGCCTGACACTTTTATATATTACCTTCATTCATCTGCACAGCCACACTAAGAGGAAGGTGCTGCTGGTGTGCCCAGGATACTGATGAGAAAGGGGAGGCACAGAGGCCACAAAGACAGTGGGAGGACAGAATGGGACCCCAAGCAGTCCACACCTGGAGCCCATGCTCCCAAGCACCACTCTCGGCTCTCTCTCTTCCCCTCATCCACCATCTTCGGTTCATTCTTCCTCCTTCTCTGAGCTCTTGCTCTCCTCTCCAATAATCTTCTCTTTCTCCCTCCCTCCTCCCTCTCCCCCCTTTTCTCTTCTCTTCTCTCTCTCATCTCCCCACACACTTTCACATACACTCACACACACTCTCACACTGTCACACTTACACACTCTCACACAAATGTACTCACACACGCATTTGCTGTAGCCCATCCACTTTCACAGTCACCGGCTACCCCATGCAGCACAGCGTGGAAGGAGGAGAGGGTGAGAGAGGCCCAAGAGCCTAGACGCTCCTCCCAACCCAGTGCATCTGTCACTCTATACGTTAAAATGGAATGAATACCAAATGGGGTAACAGGCATAAAGAGCTTAACACCATGCCCAGAAATCAGGAGCCTGCCCTCCCTATATATGACTATGACGACTATTTTGTGTAAAGACTACGACTGGCACAGGGAATAGGTGTGACAATAGCCTGGCCTGGCTGAGTGGGCCCTGAGGGGAGGTCTCGGGGGACACAGGACCTTGAAGATCATGTAGTCCAAGCCCACCAGAGCGCATACCTAGACCCACAGAAGGGAAAGCACATGCTCAGGTTCCGTGGACAGCCAGGCAGAGTGGGTGCCAGGCCTGCTGAACTCCCACCCCACCCCCCCATAGAGCACCTCCTCTTCTGCCTGCCTGAATGAGGAAATAGCCAGGATTTCAGGTCAGGCGTCCTCCAGCCGAGGCCACCATGGAGAGGGATTTCCCAGCAGGCAGCCATAGGTGCCTGGGCCCATGAGGCACTAGTGGTGAAATGATTTGTTTACAGAGTTTGGCCAAAAAGACTATTAGCATGGAATTTCCAGCTTAGGCCACCTGTTTAGAAGGTAAAGTGTCAACCCTCCTGGGTGCTTATAACACTCTTCATTTCTGTCACCAGTATAGAAAATAATTTACATGTTGTCTACGGCTGTTTTCATGCTACCATGGCAAGGTTGAATAGTTGCAACAGAGACTACATGGCCAGCAAAGCCAGAAATACTTACTACCTGTCCCTTTACAGAAAAAGTTTATGAACACCTGCTTTAGGTACATGTAATCTCCTCGAAGCTAAGGCCCATGGTGTTCATGGGGTGGTATGAAGTTTAGATGGGTTAACCCACAGCAGGCACTTAGAAGAGAGCCTGGCACGCAGGAAGAACTCTGTATTAGTAGGCATTGTGTAGTTCCATAGGCTTATTCACAGGTCAACAAATACTTGTTGGAACAAATCAGATATTTTCTGCTCCTTATTATAGATTTAGCACTAAGACCACGCCAGCTTCAGTGGGTAATCAGGACAATTCATGGGGAAGTTGTATCTGAACATTAGAAATAATAAAAATTGTATTTTTACTGTACTCCTTGTAATGTCAGAAACAATGCAGATATTATCCAATTTAATCCTTATAAACTGTTGTGCACACACGAATTTTATTATGAGGATCTTGTTAACATGTACATTCTGCCTCAGTAGGGAGGTCCAGGGTGGGGCCTGAGAATCTGAATTTCTAGCCAGCTCTCCCATGCTGCCCATGCTGCTGGTGCTCAGACTGCCCCTTGAGCAGCAGGCCTTACAACACTCCTGCGAGCTGGATATTATTCTTGCCCTTCCCACTTTACGGGACAGGGAAACTGAGACTCTTGCCCAAGGTCACACAGATAAGTGACAAAGCCAGGATTTGAATTCAGGTGAGACTAACTGCAAAATCCCCATTCTGATTCACTGGCTGATGGGCTTGGGCAAGTTACTTCACCTCTCTGAACTTCAGTTTTCTCATCTATCAGTTGGAGCTGAAAAACACACCCTGAGGGGCTGTTACAAGGATTAAATTTTATAATATACATTAGGTACTCACTCAAGACCAGACACAGAGTGAGTGCTTAACAAGAATTCTCTCTCTCCTGGGTCTTCACAAAGCTCTCACCATCCCTGTGTGCTCACAAAGATGAGAATGCAGGTGGTTTTCACTGCACGCCCGGGCACCCATGTGTGTGTGTGCAGGTGTGTGCGCTGAGGGATCAGGGTGGGGATACAGGGTAGGGAATGCAGCTAGGGTTCACCCCACACATGCCCCCAAACTATTGTTCATCAAATGTTTACTGTATGCCCCCAAAGACTTATCTAAGTGCACTGTCAGAATCAACTCATTTAATTCTCACAACAATCTTAAGAGGCAAGTACTATTACCGTCCCCATTTTACAGATGAGGAAACTGAGGTACAGAGAGGTGAGATAATTTACCCAAACTTACCCAGCTAATAAATGCTAAAGCCAGATTCAAATCCCAAATCCAGGCTGTGTGATTCCCCGGCCACTACAAGTACTGCCTCTCAATGTGTCCCAGGTACCCCAAAGAGCAGAAGGAGCTAAAAATTGCCTAAGGATGTCAGTGAAGGCTTCACAGACAAGGAAACTTTGAGTTGAGTTTTGATGGTTGAATAGAAGTTTACTGAGTGAAAAAGAGCAGGAAAAACATTCTACTAAAAAAGCTTAGTATGTCAAAGTCAGACATGCAATGACATGATATGGGAAGTTTACTGTGGCTGAACAGAGGGAACATAGGCATGAGGCTGGAGCTAGGCAGAGGCCAAGTCACACAGGGCCCTGTGAGCCTCAACATGCACTGGAGTTTGGGCCTGTAGGCAGTGATAAGCCCCTCCAGGGCTGTGAGCTGGGCAGTGGCTCCCTCTCTCTCCTCCCTAGTATTGCTAAGCAACCTCGACTCTGGTCCTGTGTCCATAAAAGCCCATTCCTGTGTGCTGGCCCTCTCCTCCCTCTGGCATGCCTCAGTCTCACAGCCATGTTCTTTCTCCCCCTGACCCTCCATGTTCCACAGGGGCTGTTAGGGCCTCGAGCATTTTCCCGATCCTGAGTGTGATTCTGCTTTTCATGGGGGGACTCTGCATCGCAGCCAGCGAGTTCTACAAGACTCGACACAACATCATCCTGAGTGCCGGCATCTTCTTTGTGTCTGCAGGTAATGAGAACCAAACCAGGCAGGCCAGAGCCCAGGCCTACCAGTAGGAAGAAGAGTGAGGTTTGGGTGCTCACTGGCTGGGAGGACCTGGACAAGAGAGGAGAGGAGGGAGGAGAGGAATCTCTGGGCCTAGCAACAGATCATATTGAGGGGAAGGCAGGTTGTGCTAGGGCTCCCACCTGAGCCCCCACCCCCACCCCGAGTCCTCCACGAACATCCCAGACTCTGTCCCTTAGCCCAACGGCCCGTCTTCCTCCCAACTCTTAGAAAAGGGCCATTTTCGCTTAGCAGTGAAAGCAGGTGGTAATGCTCAATAAACAATACCTATTATTATGATTGTTACTCAATAGTTGTAGAATGCCTCTCTCTTCTCTCCCCTCTTCCATATGTTACCATTAGCTCTTTCTTCTGTGGCTTTCTCCAAATGAAGTGATAAAGAATTAAGGTGATGCTTGCCAACATTGAAGTATACTCACCTATCCATACACTTTGAAAACAAAGGCCCATTCAACTGTCCCTGCCCTTTTTTATAATGTTTTTGTGATTTTAGAAAGCAAGGAAAGGAGAGAGAGAGAGACAGAAACATCCATGGGCTGCTTCCTGCACACCCCCTACTGGGGATCAAGCCCACAATTAGGGCATCAAACCGACAACCTTTCTGTGCAAGCGATGACGCTCAAACAAGCCACGCAGGCAAGGGCAACTGTCCCTGTCCTTTGATTCTGCCCAGTGCCTGACCTTCTGCTTGGAAATTAACATCCTTCTCTCTGATTCTGCCCCGTCCCCCTCCGTGTCCATCCTGTGCCCCACAGGTCTGAGTAACATCATTGGCATCATAGTGTACATATCTGCCAATGCCGGAGACCCCTCCAAGAGCGACTCCAAAAAGAATAGTTACTCGTATGGCTGGTCCTTCTACTTCGGGGCCCTGTCCTTCATCATTGCCGAGATGGTCGGTGTGCTGGCCGTGCACATGTTTATCGACCGGCACAAACAGCTGCGGGCCACGGCCCGCGCCACGGACTACCTCCAGGCCTCCGCCATCACCCGCATCCCCAGCTACCGCTACCGCTACCAGCGCCGCAGCCGCTCCAGCTCCCGCTCCACCGAGCCCTCACACTCCAGGGACGCCTCCCCCGTGGGCCTCAAGGGTTTCAACACCTTGCCGTCCACGGAGATCTCCATGTACACCCTCAGCAGGGACCCCCTGAAGGCCGCCACCACGCCCACCGCCACCTACAACTCCGACAGGGATAACAGCTTCCTCCAAGTTCACAACTGTATCCAGAAGGAGAACAAAGACTCTCTCCACTCCAACACAGCCAACCGCCGGACCACCCCCGTATGAGGCCGCGGGGCCCAGTGCGCCTGCCGCCCCAGGCAGAGCCCAGAGCAGGCGCGGCCCGTGGGGTGGGCCAGGGCTGGGGGCCGGGGGGAACCAAACAATCCACTGGGGGGGAAACCTTCCAAAAGCAAAAAAACAAAAAAAGAGAAAAACATAAGTAAATTTAAAAAAAAAAGAACAAAATATAAGAGGAACAAAGAAGCCAAACAACAGAAAATGTGAAAAAAACATAAGCGAGGGAAGGAAAAACAAACTTTAAAAAAGCAAGCGAGGATAAAAATTAAAAATAGAAAATAAATCTAAAAGAAAATGCATGATTTCCCATGTACCATTATTTTAACATTTAATAAAACCAATTTAAATGAAAAAATAAAAGGGAACTAAGATAACATTAAAGCAAAAAAACGAGAAGGAACAGAAAAGAAGGGGGATATTCTTTGTATTTAATCAGGGCTTTCTGTTACTTATTTTTTTAAACTCTGGAAGAGTTGCTTTTCTGTTCCCTTTAACCCCAAGCGACTCTGCCTCCCTGGGTGAGTGGGGGGTGGAGACTCAGAGGCCCCGGGGCCAGGTGAGCCTCTTGGTCACTGCCAGGTCCCTGGAGCCTCTGGATGGGCACCCCAGGAATGCTGGGCAAGCTCCTGGCTTGCGAGCCCACTCCACCCAGCATCAATGGGGCAGTTGTAGGCCTCCGGGTGACCCAAGAGTCCTTGGTCCCTCCTGTCCGAAAGGTGCCTGGAGGGGGGTGCACTTGGGGCTTGCCTAGCCCCCAGGTTCCCAGTCCTTAATGGTCCTTAACCCACTGTGATGACTTCCTAGGCCTTGAGGGAAAGGAAGGAGAGGGGATGGCTGCTGGTGGCTTGCTGAGATGCCCAGAAACCCCGGAATCCTCAGGGTGAGCCTCTTGGGGTCACCACCCCAAGATCCTGTCCTTGGGGGCAGGAGATCCCACCCCACCCCCGGGGATATAAAGCAGCTCTCCCTCCTCACCCCTCACCTCAGGGCCACCCAATGACCCTGGGGCGATGGTGGACCCCCAGATTCGTAGGCCCCCAGCCTCCTGGGAAGGGGGCTCACTGACCCTTTGGGGGGGTCCTGACATTGCAAAAAGGTTTCTTTTTACAAAAGAAAAAGGAAAAACAAGTGGTGATTTTTTTTTTAATAAAAAAAACCACAGACTATAAATAAATGTAAATATATAATAAGTGGATTTACTCGCAAGAAAATCAGATAGTATTTTTCTTTTAATTCTTTTCCAGCTTTAAACTGTGAAAACAAAAAAATGGGGTGGGGTGGGGGACTTAAAATTTAGCAGGGAACTTGTAAAGAAAAAACAGAAAACAAATATACAAATCCATTTTTTAAAAATACTGTTGTGAGAGATTAGAGCTGGGCTTAAAGCAGGAGGGAGAGACGAACGGCCCTAGGGAGCTGCAGGGAGTTCCTGTAATGAGAGAACTCTTCCTTATACCAGGAAGATGTTCACGTGGGAGAGAGAACCACAATGGAGAATCCTCTCTTTGGGAAGGAGATCGCACACCACACACGCACACACACACACACAGAGTCCTTGAAGCCCAGCGCGAGACTCACTCACAGGGATACACATGCCAAGTAAACCCTTCCATTCCCATACGCAGGCAGAGGAAGGGTTCAAAGATGACTCAGGCCCTCCAAAGCCATGGACAACTCCATACTGGCCTTCATGCTCGCGAGTGCCCTCCCCACACACACGCACACTACTTGCATGCATGGAAAGGACACCAGTCTAGAATCCAGCTTTGAATTCTGAAATCCCTTGCTGTGTAGCCTCTCTGGGCCTCAGTTTCCCTTGTGTAATAAGCATGTGGATTGACCCAGATGAGCTCCAAAGGCTCATTCTTATTCTTGATGCCGATGACTTTTAAGATATGCCACCTGCCCAGAGGAAGATGCCAGAGACGACCAAAATAGCTGCCATCCAGCCCCATACATTGAGAACATTTCTGAATTATCGGTCAGCTGTTCACACACACACACACACACACACACACACACACCCCATATGCCTCCTCACTGTGCTCCCAACCCCCTGTCCCCACATCCAACGTCAAAGCAAAAATTACACACCTGAGCAAACGTATCCTGCCGTTCAGAGAGGGAAAAGGCACCAGAGGTCCCCAAAGCCACTCTTCATTTTGTGTCCCCTTTAATGCCATAACCTAGTCACAGAGAGGGAAGGGGGCTTCCTTGAGAGAAGAGATCAGGCACCACGCTTCCCCCACTGTCTTTGGGGGTCAGAGAAAAAGAGGATCCTCCAAGGTTTGCTGGAGTGATTAAAGCCAGGGGATGGAGAGGAGAGCTTTATAAAGTTTGGTCCCAGAGTGAGGACCAACCTCAAAAGTTAAACTGACACCACTGACTAAAGTCTGGAGCATCCCATGTTGCTCCCCTTTCTTCCCAGAGGGACAGGGGCCAGTTCAGACGGAGAGAAACCCAATAGCTTTGCAGAGCTTGCATTTCAGCCCAGCCTGCCAGCCACTCTGCTGAAGGTGAGGGGCCCTGCTGCCCCCATCTGCACATCTCAGTTTGCCTCTTTCTTGACACTGCCCTGGCCTGAAGTTTCTTAAGTTGAGCTCTGGGGAGTGGGGGGAGTGGCTAGCAAGGCTTTTGGGGTTTGCACGCTCCCAGCTGCCCTTCCCGTCTCTTAGCTCTGTCCTCAGGTCAGCAGCAGCTGGAACCCTAAATTCAGCCTGAACCACAAGGCAGAACATCTGCCTGCCCAGCCCAGAAGTTCATGGGAGGCCCCAGGGCCCCAGGACAGAGCAACACAGGATTTTTCAGTGTGGGCAGAAATCACACTCTCTCCCTCCCCACTCCAACCTGGCCCTCCACCCTACCCGATTCCAACCTGAAAGGATCAAGGGCTAGAGAGAAGGGGGAGGCCCCAAGAAAACAACAAACAAGCGGTGCTGTCCAAAGAGGACAGTTGGCCCCAATTCTCTGAGTTCTGGCAGAGTGTTTGGGATGGAGATCAGTGCTTCTCTCCAGGTTGTGAGGCCTGAGTCCTGGGTCCTCTTGAAAAAGGTCATCAGGTGTGGCTGAAACCAGCATGGCAGCTGGAAAAGGGCGGGGGCCTGGAGGGAAGAAGCTGGGATGGGGCGGGCGGCAAGGGAACTGCTTACCAGGGCAGACGATTGCTCATGTCCAGCTCAAACCAGTTCAAGAAACCAACCTCCATTTTATTTTCTCGGTGGGTCCTTTTTTTTTCAGACTGTTAACAGAAAAAATTTTAAAAAGCAGAAAACTAAAAAAAGAAAAAAAAAAGAAAAAAATCCTGGTACATGAAATAAAGATTTTTTTTATAGCTTGGTCCTCACTTCTGTGGATTTCTTTAATTGCATTCTCAACTCCTGGCATCCCATTTAAAACAACTGCAAAGCCACAGATTCTTAGAGTTGAGGGATAAGAGGCTTAGATGCCAAGCAGTAGTGTCCCCACAGGAGTGTCAGGTCACGAGTCCTCTCATAAATATTCCTTACTGATCCTTTCACTCCTCCAGTGACAGGGGGCTCACCCCAGCCCACGCTGGGCAGCACACACTGGTGAAAGTCTCCTCTGCACAACAGATTTTAATCCACTCTTCCTTTGAATCCAGCAACGCTGAATGAATCCCTTCCCTTTGCAGCACAACACTTCCTCAGAAGATTGTAAGCACAAGTCCTTAAGTTTTCTGCCTTAAAATAAACCAGCCTGCTCAACAACCCAATGACAGTCCAGGGTTTCAGTTTTCCCCATGAAAGTGTGCAGCCTGGAGTTGACACAATTTTCAGGGGCTCCCTGTACAGAGGTGCTCCCTGGAGGAGACCGTGGGTCATTGGGAGATGAATGGGGAGGATCTCAGAAGGGGCCCTGGGACTCTCCTGACTTGAAGAGATGGGAAAGGCAAGATGGGATTTTCCAGTCAGCTCAGGCTGCTATAAAAAAATACCACAGACTGCAGGGCTTAAACAACAGACATTTATTTCCACAGTTCTGGAGGCTGGGGAGTACTGGATCAAGGTGCCGGAAGATAGGTTTCTGGTGAGAACTCTTCCTGGCTTGCAGATGGCACTTTCTCTCAGAGAGAGAAATCTGGTCTTTCTCTTCTTACAAGAACATGAATCCCATCATGGGAGTCCCACCCTCATGACCTCATTTAACTCTATCTCCCAAAGGCCCCACCTCCAAATACCATCACATTGGGATTTAGGGCTTCGATATATGTACTTTGGAGGGAACACAAGAATTCAGTCCATAACAAGATGCTAATAGGAGAATGTGACCCTCAACAGTGAAGAAAGGCCCCATTTCAAGGCAGCTCAAGAGCTGGCCTCCCATGTCCAGCCCTGGTCTGGCCAGACTGCCAAGGTCAGCTATCTGAAGGAGGGCTGTACATACCTCCCAAAATGCATTAAATACACTTAATTTAGTTCATTTTAACTTTAAAAAACTGTCATACCACTTAGGATGGAAGGAAGGAAGGTATTTCAAAATCAAATCAAGATTTTAAAAGTGAACAGAAAAGGACTCATCTGCTGGCAAATCAGACTATTCCTTCTCCTCCTAACACCTCCTGTGCCCACCTGCCCATCACCACTTTACTGAATTTATTATACTTGACTCAGAGATGAGGGATGCACTCACAACCAACACCATGACAAACAGGAAAAAGAAGAGCTGACCAAAGCTTGTTTAAAATGAAAACATAATACGTTGTTCTGAAAAGAAAAAAAGAGCTTCATTTTATCCTACTGACATCGCTCATCATAGATTTAAAAAGCATGGAGGTTGCATTCACTACAGTAGCTGCGATTTTAATATTTTCATTTGGAGAGGCTGAAGGTGATCTATGGGGACCATCCAAGTCACCTTCAAATCAGCCATGATAATGCACAGTGATGGGGACAGGGGAGAGTCCCAAAAGTCATGACCCAAGTCCTGACACAGACCAGGGCTTCTCTACAAGCTCTGAGAGGTGGGGCCTCTAGGGGGGAAGACACTGTCTAAGATTGGAGGAGGAAGCTTGGTCACTGTGCAGCTCTCCCTGGAGCTCAAGAGAAAGGGGATGGCATCCTCTGAGCCACACAGATCCAGAGGAAGCCAGCCCTGCACTATGGGTCCCTGGAAAACTTAGCTCTAGAACTGGCCAATGCTCAGAACTCTCCGCACAATTCAGCTCAAGTTCCCAGGGGCCAGCAAGCGTCTCTCCCTCCAGCTCACCCCTAACATTTACAATCCCAAGGCAAGAATACAAATGGAGGCCGACATACCATAAATCTGAACATTTAACAGCTAAAAATCCAATTTAAAATAATGCTCTATCCTTCTATCCTGTATTTCAAAATCTCAACCTCCTCTGATTTCTGTACCCCAAAGTGGCAGCACGAGGCAAGCCTGTACTAGGCCCTCAACCCTGGCACCTGGCACACAACCCAGCTCCCCTTCCCTTCCCACCTTCAGCTCCACTCAGCATACGCGGAGCCTCTCCCACAAATGTGGTGCCCATCCCAGCCTGCACATCCACGTTCCAGCTACTGCCACCCAAAACAGCCCCTACCTGGCCACTCCTCAGGCCAGTCCAATCTCAAGACAGATGGTAGCTAGCCCTGGAATCTGCTTCTGGTCCCTTTGGACAGAAATTCAAAACACAGGTCTAGAAGAGGGGCATGGGCTCAGGGCAAGTGCTCAGGGCGAGCGTGTCCTATTGTCGTAAGAACATGGGGAGGGGCGTGATCAAATGAGGGCCAGAGCAAGGGCCCCTAAAGCCCAGGGCCCAAGGCAGGGGCCCCTCCCACAGTACAAGTCCACAGCACAGTCTCTCTCTGGCTTTTGATTGTAGATATCAACACTCAGGGCCCAGCCCAAGGGCTCTGACTCCCAGAGTTTCAGTTAAGGAGCCAGAAAGCTCAGAAGACCTATATCTTCTTGGGGGAAAAGGCAAGATGGAGCCCAGAGAGGACAAGCAATGTGTCCAGACTTGCACTATGAATTGGCCTCAAGAAGGTTCCAGGCCCCAGCCTCCTGGCCCTGCACTGTCCCCAGACACCCTTCTGATGGAGGTTTGAGGAATTCCTTCTCCATCCTCCGTTCACACTCCAGGCTTAGAGTTTCCCCCTGACAGTACTACTGACCTCACCAAACTCCAAAAGCTCCAAGCATATCTGCAGGGTGTGAGGGAAGGCAGCCGTCTCAGTAGGTGTCTAGACCTGGCTAACAAGGAGCATCAGTTTGGACTGGCTTCCAAGACAACGGCTGAGGAAGCTGGCTGGTAGCCAAACATTGCCTGCTCCCCTAGTGCCCAGGCTCTGGAAAGAAATGTTGCTGGGCCAGTGTGCAGATTTCTCCCAGAGGAGCTCTGCCCCTCTGGTCCTCCCCACCGCAGGCTGTCACAGACACAAATCCAGAAGTGTGCTGGGACCACCTCCTTACAGGCATCTCTTCTCAACTCCATGTTCAGTGGGGCCACAATGGCATTTTGAAATTGGCCATGGTGGGAGTGTTTACACCAAAGAAATGGGCAAATGCTACAAATCAGGGATTCTGGTTTTTTTAATGAAGAGCTGATTGTCAAACATTTACCAGCATACCATTGCATAAGTGTGTAGGTGTGGTATGTGCATGTAGGTTTACTTATGCACACCTTTGAGACACATCCACAGTACGGGTGCATGTGTGCATGTCCATGTATATATTCTTACATGCACACATTCTTGTGCATGCATGTCCACACACATACACACTTCTGAAATTAGATCCACTTACCAAACATACTCATTCAGTCTGTCAGCACTTACTGACCACGTCTCCTCTACCAGGCCTTGGTCTTGGTCCCAACTGTACCAACATGACAAGGACATGGACTTTCCTTCAGGAAGCTCTCTGTGGAGACAGGGCCATGGACAGGGAAACAGAAGGTTGCTGAGAAAGATGATAAAGCCACACAAAGGCGTGGAGAGGAGGGCGCACTAACACGGGGCAGGTACATCTTCAGCAAGGATGTACACGCCCACGGCACACATTTCTCTACATAATCTACATGCATCCTTGCACTTACATGCAAAGGTGAGCATAGAGGTGTGTATACTATGTCACAGATGCTTCCATCTGTGTGGACGCATGTGCCATACATGTGCTTGTGTGTGCATATATGTGTGTGCCCATATGTGCCCAAAACATCGGTCAGAACAAAGGAACACAACACTAAGGGAGATGGCCCATTTTTGTCACCAGCCTCTCTCTCGCTAGCTCTTTCTTTCTGTTAGTACCCCTCTCAATCTCTCTTTTTCAGTCTCCTCACCCCCCTCTCCCTCTCTTGCTCTGGCTTTTGTTTTCTCTCCCTCCTCTCCCTCCCACCCAGTGACCAGCCTCAATCTCACCTCACCCACACTGCGTTGCAAAGGATTCCAGGGCCAACCCAGGCACCTCTCTCAGCCACTAGCATGCAGAGCAGAGCAGAGCAGAGCACCACGGATGGGCTCTCGGAGGCGGCTCCCTGCAATGAGGCAGACGCGCAAGAACGGCTGGCACGAGCGGGAGGAGGGGGTGATCCCTTCCCACCCATCAAGTCAGGGAGTCCGCAATGACCTGTCAGGACCCCTAAACAGTTCAAAATTTTATGGGATATGAAACTCAGACACAGACATCAGGCAGGATGTAGTCAGCTGTCAGAGGGTGACTCCGAGCAGGGAGAAGGTAGCCAGGGGAGGAAAAGGGTAGGACTTGAGCTAAACCACTATTTCTCCCACTCAAAATCTTCAGCAGCTCCCCAGTGCCCTCACAGTAAAGTCTTTAATGCTCTCCCTCATCTGGGCCTTGGTTGTCTGTCTTACCACAGCAAACTGGGCTTTACTGAGAGCCTACAATGTGCCGGGCACTGTCAGATCATATATTATCACAGCCCTGTTAAGTAGATAAGGAAACAGAGGCTCAGAGAGGCAGAAATGTATGGGAACTAAGAGGGTGGGCTCTGGAGTCACACTGCCAGGGTTCAGTCTTGGCTCTTGCCACTAACCTGTAGCACAACCTTGGGCAAGTTATCTACACCTCAGTTTCCTAATCTATAAAAGGGGAATGATAATAATAGCACTGTTGTTATGGGGAGTACATGAACAAAAGCATTCTGCCTGATACATAACAGTTATATAGCACTTTCTATATCAGTGAACACTCAAGAATGTGCTGTGGCACCAAGACATGCTCAGACTGTGGCAGAGCTGTGTCCAGAGTCCTCATGCGCACCCACCGCTTTGTCCTGCCTGCATCATCTACACACACAAGCACACACAGGGTCACCAGTGAGTGCATTAATGGAGGCTGCACAGGGCACAGACAGGCAAGGAGAAGGGAGGGTGAATTCTCCTTGGCAGGGCAGAGGGGGCCTGGGTTGCAAAGGCAGTGCCAGGAGAGGCTTCACAGTTCTGGGCTGTAAAAGCCCTTGAGGGCTGAGGCTTGGGCTATACCCGCCTCCTTCCTGGTGCTGCCCCAACCTGGTTCTCAGGAATACTCAAGACCGCTCTGATGCCTTTCATTCATTCATTCATGCATCCATCCATCCATCCATCCATCCACCCAGTTCCTACTACATGCTGCTCTGTGCTGGGGGTAGCAGTAATCAAGAGAGACCACAGCTCCAGCCTCATATAAGTCATATTCCAGAGGGAAAAGGAAAAATTAGCAAGTTAAGAATCAAATAATAATATAATTACAAATTGCCATGAGTGCGATAAAGTATGTTCATTTTAAAAAGTAAATTGATTTTAAAAAGTAATAAGGCTTGACCTCCTATGGTTAATGAAAACTCAGTGACTTAAAACAATAACCATTTATTATCCGCTCAGCTGGGCAGTTCTGCTCTACATGGTGAGTACTAAGGCTGCAATTGCTCACGGGCTGGACTGGGCTGGAGCAACCAAACTGACACACTCAGGGGCCGTAGTCAGTGCTCACTGTCAGCTGGGAGCTCAGCTGAGCTGTTGACCTAACTCCTCATATCTGCCCCTGTGGACTCTCTGTATCTTGGGCCTTTCACAGCATGACAGCTGGGTTCCAAGTAGCAAAAACTGAAAGCTGCCAGTCACTGGAAGGCCTGGCCTGGGAAGTGTCAGCAAGTCACCTCTGCCATATTCTGTTGGTCAAAGCAAGTCCCAAGGCCAGTTCTAGGGGGAAGAAAAACCAAGTCCAACTCCTGATGGGAATAGCAGCAGATGTGTGAGAAGCGAGGAAATGCTGGGGGAAGTCTTTGAAGGCCAGCTACCACAACCCCCTAGATAAAGCACTCAGGGAAACCTCTCTGAGATGCTGACTTTCAGCTAAAATTTGAAGGGTCAGGAGGGTGAGTCAGACAAAAACAAGGGATGGAAGGGAAGGGAAGGTTCCAGGCAGAGGGAATAGCATGTGCAAAGCCTCTTTTCCTGAGGCAGGAAAGAAATTGGCCTGTGAGTAGATCTAAAGATGACTCAATTGGTTATCCCTGGCGAGCAAGGGACAAGTAACACAGGATGAGGTGGGAAAGGTAGGCAGAGGTCAGTCCTCATGGGGCAGGCCTTTGGATTTTGTTTTAAGTGCAAGGAAGGCCCCCTCACCCAGACATGACAGGGAAAATCACCCCTGAGCTCTCCATGCAAAATTAATGAAGCCAGAGCCAAGGTTAGACACTGTGCAGGGACAGATATAAGTAAGCCAGGTCTCTTCCCTAACTCTCAGAGTTTTATTTGAATTATTTACTTGTGATTTGCGATCTGCCCTTTTCCATCCAATTAACCTCTATTTATGCAGCTCCTTCTATGAGTGGAACAGCTTACAGTAAAAGACACATAAATAAAAAAGAATATTGTTCTAGCCAGTTTGGCTTGGTGATTAGAGCATTGGCTGGCAGGCTGAAGGGTCCCGGGTTCTATTCCTCCTGGTCAAGAGCATGTACGTCAGTAGCAGGCTCGATCCCTGGCCCCAATTGGGGCACATGGGGGGGCAACCAATCAATGTGTCTCTCTCACATCAATGTTTCTCTCTCTCCCTCCACTCTCTTTGAAAAGCAATGGAATAAATATCTTCAAACGAGGATTTAAAAAAAAGAATATTAAAGTTAGAAAACGGAGCTGGAAGTCTTAGAGTCCTCACATCTCAGAGCACTCACCCCTTGAAGGGCAGCAGAAAAGAGCAGGCAGGAAAGAATGGGTAGTGAAGTTAGGAAGCTGTATCTAAAGCCCAGCTTCACTCTTCCCCAGCTGTGTAGCACAAGTAAGAGACAGCCTCCCTGAGCCTGCATTTCCTCATCTGCAAAATGGGATCACTGATCTCACCTAGGATCAGCGGCTAGGATGCTCTGAGGAGACACTGACTGTGAAAGCTCCAAGCACAGCACCTAGATGCAGCTGGTGTCAGTGAAGAAGCATCATAGCTGGGATCTATCGAGCTTCCCCTTGCACCAGGCATTGATGGACACACTTTTTACTTTAATGCCAACAGCAACATTATGGGATAGATCCTATTATTGTCCCCATTTTACAGATGAGGAAATGAAGCCCAGAGAGATTAAGATATGCATTCAAGGCCACACAGCAGGAATGTGGTGGAGCTGGGACAGTAAGCCAGGCAGTCTGCTGGCTCCAGAGCTCGCATCTTCACCCTCACTGACCCGCTTCTCCGATGGGTTCTCCTTCTCCCTTCCCTTTCTCTACCTCCACCCTCCATAGTATACCCACTCTGACTGCAAAGTGCTCACAGCTGATGGAAGCTCTTCCGCCATGGAGCCATAACTGTCCACTGGCTCACCTCATGCTCACCTCACTCTCACCTCCTTCCCATGCTTTGCCTCTCTCTTGTCTTAGCTCTGTCCTGTAGAGTTTGTGAAAAACACACTAAACTTTCTTCTGTGAGACAGCCCTTTAGAGTCAATTGCTTCCGCTGAAGGGACTGGCAAAGGCTTAACATAAGTGAGACTCAGAGCTGGCCATAAAGGGTGAAGAGGATTTTCCCCACAGGCTCCTTGACAGCAAAGACATGACTCCACTTATCACTTGCTTGGCACGTGGCAAGGCCTAACAGTCTTATGAATTGAATAAAGGTGAACGGAATTGAATTGAACTGAGTTGAGTTGAATTGAATTGGACTGAACTGAATCACAAGGTTGAATGGATGAAGGGTGAAAGGATGGACAGAGGGTTGGATGAGTGGATGGATAGTTGGTTAAATAAATGGAAAAAAAATTAATGGATTTTTAGATGCTAAGATGATGGATGGACGGACAGACGGACGGACGGACGGACGGACGGATGGATAGATGGGAGTAGATCTGGTGACCTAGGTAGCAGGAAAATCTGGTAACTGAAAACACAGAGGTAGGAAGGATGGATGGATAGATGGGAGTAGATCTGGTGACCTAGGTAGCAGGAAAATCTGGTAACTGAAAGCACAGAGGTAGGAATGACCAAGGTGTGTTAGGAAACACTGAATACATCAGTGTGACTAGGGCAGAGGGCTCGCACCAGAAGAAATAGAGAGTAAACATCCCCATTGCCCCTCCTCTAGGGACAGATGGAGGTGCTGGGGAGGGTGCCATACAAGTTGTGTGCTTGGTGGTTGCTGGGAAGGGAGGAGTTAACCACAGGATGGCTCCCAGGCCAGCTGTGACCAGGGTGACACTGACAGATTACAGCGTGTCCTCCGCACTAATAACACTGCGGCGTCCTCCTCCTGCCGCTCCCCAGCCAGCACCAGCTCCAGTGGATCAATACCAAGAGATGCACACTGAAAACCCTCAGCCAATTCCCTCCAAGGCTTGGACACGTTAAAGCACAGAACTGCAGAGTGAAAGGGACCTTAGAGATCAGTTCATTCCCCAGACTGGGAGCTCCTTAGGCCAGAGATGGTGTCCCATTCAC